CAAGCTGCTTAGGGAGGTGGTGGGATTTTCTGGCCCCTCTGTCAGAGTGGGGAAACTTGGAGATGACCTCACTAGACAGAGGGGCGGCAGGACAGGAAGGGCTCTGGCTCAGAGGCTCAGTGTGGAGCGAGTATGCTCAAGAATAGCTTGGGAGGGGGGACAAAAGAATGTCTTGGGGAGGCCAGGGCAGAGCCTGAAGCAGGGAACCACCCCAGGTGGAGGGCCCCGCTTGTGTATCTCCCGAGTTTGCAGAGAGGAAAGGGGGGTGTGTGTTGGGGACAGGGCGAGGGGCTTGTCCATCTGCTGAACCAGGAGATGGGATATGGACCATCAGGCGTGAAGGCCGCTTCTCCAGGCAAATCGGGGCTGCTGAGGGCTCTCTGCATAGATGGTGTGATATAAATATTTAGGCCCCACGAGCTGTTCTCGCTGCACTCTGGGGAGGACTCGAGACTTCACAGATGCCGGGCTGTGATTGATACCATGTGCTTGACAGCACTGGAGAGACGCCTGGACCTGGCCAAGCAGGGGGTCTTGGAGCTGAAGGGAAGGGGCAGGGGGAAGGGGAGAGGGCAGTCTCACACACCCGCACTTACACTGTTTGCCCTGCGCGCAGCCCCACGCAGGACTCGGGGGACACGCAGAGAGATACAGGCCAGCACGTTCCTAAGGTGCCCTGTGTCCAGCTGGGGGGTGGGCGGTCCAGGGAGGAGAGGGGTGTGGGGCAAATGGGAGGAGGGGTGCAGAGTTGGGAGCTGAGGTGCCCGTGGGGAGGGGCCAGGGGAGAATGAAAACCCAGCCTGTTGGTGGTTTCTTCTTTTTTTTTTTTAAGAGCCACAAGCTGAGATCAAAAGTGATATTTTTACAGCAACTGAAATAGAAAACCACTGGGCACTCAGTGGGAGGTGAGCGGCACACAGGCCCCTTTATGCAGCCTGTGGCCTCGGCAGGCACGCTGCTGTCTGCCATGGGGCGTGGGGGACAGTGTGGCGGTGATCTTCCCAACTCAGGTCAAAGAAGAAGTGACCGGATGAGCCACAGCCCTAGGTGCTGGGAGAGGAGAGGGCAGAGTGAGGAGAAATCACCAGAGTTCAACACCCTTTCTGCTCTCGGTACGCACTCACTCGCTTATGCCAAATCATTTATCGAGCGTCTGCTATTCTTGGTCCTGGCTGGCCCTGGCATGACAGGAGCCACACTCAGGCCCCCTAGAGCAGTGGGTCTCCAAGCATGGCCCCACACCAGCAGGATCAGCATCAGCTGGGAACATGCTAGACATTCTCAGGCCCCGACCCAGACCTACTGACCTGGAAACTCTGGGATTCTGACGCACACTAAGTTTGAGAATCACTACACTGCACTACCTCAGTTTCCACATCTGTACTTTGGGGGAAATAACACGCTCACTCACTAAGCCCGATATTAGTTAGCATGCATGATGGATGTGTTCCCGTGTCATACATCCTTCTAATCCCTTTACAGATATTAACTCCTTTGGTTTCACAGCAACCCTGTGAGATCAGAACTATTAACAGTACCGTCCTCGTTTCACAGAAGCGGAAGTGGAGGCACACAGAGGTAAAGTAAGCTGGCCAGCATCACACAGCTAGTAAGCAGCAGAGCTCTAGAATCCGAGCTCTTCACAGCTAACCAGTGGAAAGCCCCCAGCAGTGGCTCTGGCTCCCAGAATCTTCTGGGCATGGCTGAGAGTGTGATGATGGCAATTAGCATTACCTCACCTGAACTTGAGGCGATGAGCCCCGTTTTGTAAACGTGAAATCTGCTGCCTTGTCAAGATTGAGGAGTGAGTCAGCTGCAAAGGCAGCCTCAGTGTCTGAAACCCCAGGGCGGCCGTGGGCCCTCGCCATTCACAAAGCTTTGAGACCACAATATACCATTCTGGTCTTCTGGAAACATCCCAGCTTGTTGCAGGGTAGAGCGTGGTCCCTGACAGAGGTAGGCTGGAACCCCAGTTTGACTACTTAGGGGCTGTGTGACTTTAGGCAAGTTGCCTCACCTCTCTGAGCCTCCGTTTCCTCATCTGTAAAGTGATTGGTGACAGTCCTAATTTTACAGGGTTCCTGTGAGGGTTGGAGAAGATGACATTTGTGCCCAGCCCAGAATCGAATCGTGCACAGCTGGCTCCCAACGAGCAGCTTACCCCTCTCTCCTCCCCTTCCCACTGCAACCTCAGGGGAAACAACAGCAGCTAAGGACCCAGGAAAGGTTTGAGAGAAGAATAAGTTCCCAAATGATCAAAATGCATTTGTCCTCCAGCCTCCCTGTCCTCTTCCAGGTCTTGAAACAGCTGCCTGGCCGGGGTTTAGGGGGTTAAACTCTGGCACCTGCTGTGTCCAGTCCAAGTTAGCAGTTGGGAAGGAAAGAGGAGGAGTCCTCCCCACGCCAGCCCCACTGGCCAGGCGTCCTCAATCAGCCACAGCATCTGAGCATCCGCCTGCCACAAGGCCATGTTTGGCTGGGACATCTGAAGCTCGTTAGCTGCCTGCTCCCTGGGGGCTGACCCCACTTGGCGAGAATTACCCCAGACAGAGCTGTGGAGCAAACGAAGACCAGGTGAGGTGTGGCCACGAGGCAGGAGGGGGAAGCATAATCTAACAGTGGCCTCTGGGGACCTCCAGAGAGCAGAGGAGAATGGAGAAATAGCCATTGACTCCCTGGCTATGCAAAGGGGTGGGGAGTGCTTCTCTTTGGGCCTCAGTTTCCCTATGTGTGCACCATTGGGGAAGGAGCAAACAAGACACACACTGAGGCCTTCCAGCCCTGACATTCTGGTGTCCTGGCCCAACCTAGAATTCCTGGCCTCTGAGGCCTCGCCCAGTGCTGGCGGGGGCTGGAGGGAGATCCGGGGTCCCCCCCCCAGGCCTGGAGATCAGAGGAGAGCCGGGAGGGGAAGACCAGGCAGGGACACCACAGCTCAGAACAGCCAGCGAGGTGCTTCCTCAGTGCGCATGAGCAGCAGACAGGGACACGCTGGTCAGAGGAGAGACAGTGGTGTGAGCTGAGTCTGCCTTCCAGAGACGGGCCGAGCTGGACGGATGGGCCAGGACAGGCCACATCAAGGCGCTGCTCCCCTTGTGGACTCACAGCCCCACCCTGCTGTCCGGATAGCTACAGCTCACTGTCCCCTAGCCATCTGCAGTGCCCACTCCTGTTATGCAGGCGCTGTTCTAAACACCGCACACATATTTAAATCATTTAACCCTTTCACTGGCAGGCCCTGACATTGACTTTTATCCAGATACCTAGAGAGGTCAGACCGGCTAGCCCTATCCATGTCACTCAAGATGATTCCCTCCCAACTCGTTAGTGACACCAGTCTCCCTTTCCACTGGAAGGAGCACTCTTGTCCCCTCCCCAGAACTCCTTCCCTCCCGGGAGCCACGTCTCTGGGAAACCGCCGCCTGGTGGGGCTGGAATCTGAGCAATGGGGCAAGAAGGGCTGGTGGAGATGTGATTCACACGGACCTTGCTGAAGCCTGAAGAACCATCTCCACTCCCTGCAGGGAAGTCCTCTGTGGGGACTGGGATGGGCACATCTCTCAGACAGTATCCTTGACTTCTCAGACAGCACTTCTCAGACACACACATGGCCAAACTGGGCTTCTCTGAACATTGGCTTTTTCTGGACACCTCACTCTTTGGTTGCTGCATTCTTTTCTTAGGCTGAAGTCTCTCATGCACAGGCTGGAGAGCTGATTCCTGAGCCAGAGAGCCTTTTGATTCATTTACCTCTCACAGGGGAACCTTATTCCTGGCATTTCCAAGAAAGGCCCAGAGAGGGGTGGGGACCTGTCCAATTCACACAGCCCAGCCCATTTGGTCCAAGACAACCCTGGCTCCCCAGACCATTCCTAATTAAACAGTTTGTCACTTTCAAATTTGAAAGATTACTCATATAGCTGTAGAGAAATTAGCAAATACAAATACGCAAACGTGAGAATAAATAAATACACCTTTGGTTTTCCAGAGAAACTTCCACTGCCTTTCCCTGTCCCTTCTCTCCCCCCACTCCCCCCAAACCACCCTCCCCAACCCCAGCCATAATCAATATCTCGGCCTCCTTTTGCCAACAGCTGTTCCCTAAGGAGCGAGCTTGACAGCACATCCTGGAAGACAGCCTGAGACCGGATTCTGGGAAGGCCTGGCGTCTCTTCCGGAACAGCAGAGCTTCCGCCCGGACGGAACTGTTTAAGTGCAGGATATTGTAAGAAATACTCCCAGCCAGGAATCTAGAGACTGCATCCAGCACTGCCTGGTCTGTGGATTGGCTGTGTGACCTTGGGCCAGTCCCTGCCCCTCTCTGAGCCTTGGTTTCTTCAACTTTAACATGAAGACTTCGACTTGATCAAGTGGTTTTCCCACAGCCAATCTCAGACTGTCAGCTTCTCTTGGGCAAGAGCCACGCCTTCTCTTCTTAAGTGGACCATAGAATTTAGAACCAGAGGACAGGGGTTCAAGCCCAAAGCCATCACTCCCTAACTGTGTCAGTGACCATGGGCAGGTGGTCACACCACTCTGAGCCTCTGCTCCCCCGTGGGAAGACACAGGTCAGAGTGCTCACCCTGCAGCCTGCCACAGATGCCATGAAAGGTGGACATCAAAGACCGTGGACAGCAGAGCCAGGTGCTCTACTGGGCCATCAGCCCAGTGCCTGGCTCCATCCTGACTCCGGGCATCTGGGCCCGGGCTTGTCAACGGAGCCACTGTCTGCTCATGGCGCTTACATAGCTCTGGAAGGAGGAGTGTGCACGCTGGGTCCAGCCCACTCTATGAAGTGTCAGTAACATTGCCCAGAGGGCCTCGGGGCCATGACATCATGGACAGCAGTTTCCATGTTGAAGCTCACAGATCTAAGGCCATTTTAAAAAATAGTACTGACTTTTTTTTTCTTCTCTTTTTTTTCCATTTTGGCTGAGGCATGGAATGTGAAAGCTGCTAAATTCCCGCAGGAAGTAGTAAAGGCTGGGTTCAGAAACTGACTCTGGTTTCTGGGATCCTAAAAACAATGGAAGACCCTGGAAGTCTGGACACTGCTTCCTTATGCCCACCTTGACCCCACTCCAGGCTCCCCTGACAGGACCACGGTCAGGGGAGACAAAGGCCTGCCTCTAGTCCCCAGATGACCTCAGCTTGCCATCAATAGAACAGGCATAGTAGCCCTTCCCCTGATTATTGCTGATAAGAATCAAATGCAGTAATGGCCATTCATTCATTCAACCCATATTTACAAGACACCTTCTAGATGACAGGCACTGTTCTAGGAGCTAGGGTAGAGCAGTGAGCAAAGCAGACAAAATCTCTGCATCTTGGAGTTGAGATTGTGGTGGGGAAAGACAGTCACCAGATAAAGAAGGGACAGATACAGGACATCAGCTGGGTGATGGCTCCATGGGGGTGAGGGGAGAGTGTCAGTGGGGAGGGGTAGGGCCTGTTTGCAGTTTTAAATAGGGTGCCAGGGCAGGCCTGGCCCAGAAGGGGGCCTTTGAGAGGGCACTGAAGGAGGTAAGGAGGCAGCCATGGGGTCATTTTGGGGAAGGGCCCTCTCAGCTCTGAAAGGACTTGGCTACCATGGAAGCAGGGTACAAGGTGGAAGTGATTCCTCCATGTCTCTCCTACACCTCACAGCCCCAGCTCCATTCCGAGCACAAGCAGGCTCTGGGTGGTCAAGGGCATAACTATGCATGGTACGGTCACATCTTACCTGGGAGACTGCAGTCACTAGGCCTTCGCCAAACACCTGTCCCCCGTCAGCGCCAGAGCACGCCGCAGTAGCCCGAGAGAGCTCAGACCTGCTGCCTGCCTATAGCAGGCTGGGCGCCAGGGGGCCTGGGCGCCAGTGCTGGCTCTGCTGCTGGCTGGCGATGTGATGTTAGAGAAGGCACTGCCACTCTCTGAGCCTCAGTTTCCCTGCCTTTACAATAGGATGATTAGTGTTTTCCAGAGGCTGAGGGGAGGGGAAGGGGTGCATGACTGCTATTGGGTATGGGGTGATGGAAATGTCCTGGGATTAGACAGTAATGATGGTTGCACAACTTTGTGAATATACTAAAGCAAATTGTACACTTAAAACTTTTTTCAAAAACAGTGGTTGGTTAGACAAGATGACCTCTAAGGGGAGGAACACTCATACTTTTTGGTGCCTATAATAGCCGGGTCCCAGACTCAGGACTTACATGCTATCTCATGATCTCCAAAGTTCTGTCCAGTTCTGACCCTCTAAGAGCCACCACAGTGATACTCAGCATGTGATTACTCAGCATCAAATATAGCCTGAGCCCCTGATTCAGGCCCCAGCCAGGCTAGAGTCTCTCCACGAAGGGGCTCAGAGTGTGTGGAACAAACCACAAGTATACGTGGTGCCCATTTTTGTTAGGACTAGCTCCTTCCTTTCCTTTCCTTTCCTTTCCTTCTGTAGGAAAGAACCAAAAGCCACAAGGGTGGGCACACGACTCTGTGGCAGTACAGGGGACCTCGGGAGCTGATTTATTCATCTACGCACTAGGGCCTCTGGGCTGGGTAAGCAGGATGCACCAGGGCACAGGTCAGACCCAGCCTGCCCTTAGGGAGGGAGACAGACTTTGAAACAACTCAATTAAGAATTTATTTCATTATTGCGACTGTGATCGGTGCCATGAAGGAAAAGCACACAGTGTCTTGTATAGCGTAACACGGGCACTGGCCTCGCTGGAGCTGAGTTTTGAGGGTGTGTAGGATCAATGAAGGGGTGTGGAGAGGTGTTGGAGGTGACACAGGGTGGGTATCCCACACAATATAGAAGCCCTAAGCATCCGCCGAAGAAGGCCAGTGTGGACAGCGGGCAGAGGGCTGGGGAGGCTGCCTGGTCGTGCAGGGCCTTAGAGGTGGGGCCCCATACATACCCGCTTATGCCTGCTGTCCCCTTGCAGGCTTAAGTGTCCAAGTTTAAGCAATAAACTGTACAGCCACCCTACTGCAGGCCACATGGAGGGGTTTATCCCAAGAACAACCAGCATTCTAAGAGGTCCTGGCCATCGCTCCCGCCGTTGAGCCTCCAGGCCTGCTGCTCTGCTCGTCCAGGAACAAGGGCCTGCCAGCCCGAGCGGCTGCAGCGGTTATGAGAGCCGGATGATGGCCCTGCGTGGCAGCCCTGGCCATCTGGCCCTGCTGCCCTCTTCCCAGGCAGACCCTGCTCCCCTCTGCCAGCTCCCCCTCGCCAGTATCTTAAGGTGAGAGCTTTTCCACCACATCTCAGGCCAAGCATGTTTCTTGGCTCCTGGTTCGATGAGCCGGCTTCCGGCCGTCCCCGCCCTCCGCTAGTCCCCAGAGACCCGCTCCAGGCCTCAGCTGGCCACTGGCTCACGCGCTTTTCACTCTTGTTTTTCACTTGTGCCTCTCTTTATTTCCCTCTCCGTGTGACTCTCTCCCTCTGCCAGGCCTTCCTCTGTCTTGCCCTCTGTCTCTTTCCCTCTCTTCTCTCGGGTAGCTTGGCATTATGAGAAGAGCGTGTGCTTTAGTACAGATGGGACAGGGTTCAAATCCTCGCTCTGTCACCTGCTGGCTGTGTGTCCTCATCTGTTCAGGTTGCTGTCCAGTTGCTGTCACAACCTACTAGGTGGCTGAAAGCTGAGAGTCCACAAAGTGCCTCCGGCAAATGGTGGGTGCTCAACAAATGGGTTTCCTCTTTCTTACCTTTTGCACATTCTTCGCCCTGACCTTCTGCAGGTCTTGCTCACTTCCACACAAAGCAAGAAACAAGAGCCCCCCTGCGGGCCCCACCCTCCATGCTCTCTAGGCACAGCCTCCCAGCCCCAGGCTTGAGTGGCGCCAGCAGTGTCACATGCAGCCTGCTCACGGCTAGCCGGCTAGCCCGTGGTGGAAGGCGTGTCTGGAGGTCATGGCTGGCCTCTCTACCATGGGGCTCCCTAGGGGGACATGGGAGTTGTCTTCTGAGCTGTGACTCAGGCGCCAGAGTCTCTGTTATTTTTATCAATTGAAGGCCAAGAGAGGCAGCCTCTCTGCACCACTTGTTGGCCTAAAGGCTCCTCACCACGCTTCCAATCACACTCCCTGCACTTTGCAGCCTCCCAGCCATTGCTTGTGCCCTTGGCCCCACCTGGAATACCATTCTGCTCCCTCCTCCCTCACTTTGGGCCTCACACCAGCTCTGGGGCTTAGAAAGAAGAAGAAACTGAGGCTCAGGGATATTCCAATACTGCTGTTTTTTATGAGACCGTGTTCAGTGTGATGTATTGTGTCCTTTCTTAAAAGACAAAATGAAACGGCTTGCCTGGGGTTACAGTGGATATGGAATGGAAACAGGTATGCAGGACTCTACATTTCTAATTCATCCTTTTCCCTCTGCCACACCACCTCTCACATGTTTGTGACTACTTAAACACTTGTGTAACTTACTTCCTGGATGTCACTTAACAGGTAATTTTGTAAATTAACCCTTACATTTATTTATGATCAATTGATTTTTGACAAGAGTGCCAAGACAATTCAATGGAGAAAGAATAGTCTTTGTAACAATGATGCTGGGACAACTGGATACTTACAAGCAAAAAACTAAAGTTGGTCCCCTACCTCACACCATATACAAAAATTAACTCAAAATGGATCAAACTCCTGAATGTAAGAGCTAAAACTAGAAAATCTTAGAAGAAAACATAGGTCTAAATCATCTTCACCTTGAATCAGATAAGGATTTTTTTTAAATATATAATGCCCAAAGCACAAGCAAGCCAAGTTAAAAAATAGAGAAATTGAATTTCATCAAAATTAAAAACTTTGTGCTTCAAAGGACACTATCAAGATTGTGAAGAGACAACTCACAAAATGGGAGAAAATATGTACACATAAAGTGTTTGGTAAGGCTCTAGTATCCATATCCAAAATATTAATACATAAAGAACTCATAACTCAACAAGAAAAGGACAAATGACCCAATTTTTAAAATAGGTAAAAGATTTGAATAGGCATTTCTCCAAAATATATACAAATGGAAATGGCCAGACAGCACATGAAAAGATGCCCCACATCATTGGGGAAATGCAAATCAGAACCACAGTGAGATGTACCATTCACACTTACTAGGGTAGCTATAATAAAAAGACTGAAAATAAAAATTGTTGTTGTTGTTAAGAAATTGTTTTTAAGAATGTGGAAAAATTGGAACCCTCATACATTGCTGATAATGTAAAATGTAAAGCGGTACAGCCACTATGGAAAACAGTTTGGCAGCTCACCCAAAAGACATACAGAGTTACCATGTGATCCAGCAATTCCCTTCCTAGTTTTATACACAAAAGGACTGAAAGCATATATTTCATACAAACGCTTGCATATGAATGTTCATGGCAACATTATAGCCAAAAAGTGGAAACTGCCCAATGGCCAACTGATGAATAGATAAACAAAAAATGTGGTGTATCTATGCAATGGAATATTACCCAGCCATAAGAAGCAATGAAGAAATATTGCTACATGCTACAACATGGATGAACTTGAAAATGAACTTAAACTGTCCAGAATAGGAAAATCCATAGAGACCACAAAAAGGAGATTCACGGTTTCCAGGGGCTGGACTGGTAGGTGAAATGGGGAATGGCTGCTAATGGATATGGGATTTCTTTTGGGGGTGATGGATGAAAATGTTCCGAAATTAGAAAGTGGTGGTGGTCACACAACTTTGTAAATATATTAAAACCACTGAACTACACAATTTAAAAGGGTGAATGTCTGGTATGTGAATTATAGCTTTTTTTTTTAAAGGGTAGTTTTGTAGATCTAGAGGAGATCTTGCAGAACATTGAGCCCAATATTCCCTCCCCCCAACACCTTCATGGTAAACATGGAGAAATTAAAGCCCACAGAGGGAAAGGGTCACACAGCATGCTTGAGACAGAGCAGGGACTAGAACCCAGAACTATCACCACCCCCTCTCTCCTGCCCAGATTCTTAGTTCTTGGAGGACAAGAATCTTTATTAATCTTGTACT